CCAGTTGAGAATTTCTTCATATTTAGAAAGCCTACAGAGTGAAGTTCACCCTTTTAAGTATATTCAAATGGCCTCTGGGCCATATGGTCTTAGAAAGTAGAAAAACAAGTACAGTTACCAAAGAAAAAGGCAAGCAAAAAAAATTTCTTCTAGAAAAAATATAATTTAGGGAAACAACCACTATTTATAATAGAATTTACACAAGCAGACAATATCTGATAACTCAGGCTTTAAAAATAAAAACATTTGAAATTTTCGTGTCAATATTTACAACATTTATTAGTAAGGCAGGCCACTTCACATACGCTGTCTTTTAGAAAAATTTTTGTAACAAATGAAGATAACACTGATATCACTTGGAGGTTAGTACAATAAAGTCTTTTGAAAATAATTCCCCATTTTAAGCCAAATCACTGTTTTAATATGTACATGACTATGTGAAGATAAGTCTTGAATTTAAGGAGCCTAACTTGTTAGTAGTACCAATAAGAACTGAAATAACCTGGGAAAAGGCTATGGCAGCCACAAAGAATTACTTCCATAGATTAAGATGCCTCTATTCATGCAGGACATAGCAAAGCCATAGCAGATGAAACAATCTATGAAAGAAACTAATTTTCCACCAGCAGTTGGTGTTGCCCTGTTAATAACTATGCTGGTTATAACTTCCACTGGTGAAGACTACAGTGATAATACACATCACAACAACTGATGTTTTCAACTTGTGTGATGTAGAAACTAACTTCTTTCAAAGTATCAGATGGATTTTATAAGGTTCCTAATGCCAAAAAGTAATAAATAATCCACTAGAGTGAAATGTCTTTCACTGGAAACACAAATTGTTTTCAAAAGTATTTTAGATAAATGCCTAAAAATGATTTACTACAAAGAATGAACTGCAAAATATTTTTGTAAGTCAAGTGAAAATGCACAAGTAATTCTTGGAAAGCTTGTCATGATTATTTAAAATATTATGGTGGTCACACAAAAAAATGGGATATAGGCTTACAATTACAACATTACATAGAGTAATTTGAGAGATCCTACCTTTTTCAGGAATCTGACTCCATAGGTAAACACATAAAGGTAAAATGAAAATTTCCACCTGTAGAAGATAAAAAAAAAAAATTCTGTAACATTCAGTTTATATATTTCACAGTATATTCTAAAATATATGGGAAGGGGGGTAAAAGTTCATTAAATTTGCCCTCCTTCCAACCAGGAATTAAACTTAATGAGAAATTTCAGTACTAGCTGAACACATATACTGGTATACATGGTTTACAGCAAATATTTTACAAATTAATTACATTTATAACTTAATTTTTCATTCAGTTAGTTATTATATTTTCCCCTTTGCTCATCTTCTCTTTCCCCAACATGTGAATCTCCTTTGGCTAATCATTCATGAAGGGATATGGTTCAACATGATGATGTAAGATAATATCTGAATCAAATCAAAACTAAGTAAATGACTTAACTGACATTCACATTTGTTTCAAAAATATAAACTCAATATTTTTTAAATTTGGTAGGAATTTTTTTGTCTTTTAACAACTATTTATCAATATCTTTGTGGATGTTGATAAAGGAAGGCATATAGAAAAGCCAAATTACAAGTTTAAATGACATGCTTATACCATCTCAAACCATTGGTCTAGCTGTTAGACTTTCACTTTTAATGAGTATAAAATTTTAAATTTTCTTTTGATTTTAAATGACTGAAATGCTGTAAGTCTTTTAAAATAAGATGTGTATATATATTTATTATTTTAAAAACTCTTACCCTAGTACTCACTATCCAATTTTATTCCTCGTACTTTCTGAGTATGAATATCTAGGCCTTTAAAAGCTGGCTAGATCTTACTAATAGCATTCCTGAGGTCATACAAAAAAGCCTTTTGTAAGTATAGATGATTCACTTATTGTAGTATCAAAATCAAGAACTTAATTTTAACTTCATCTCCATTATTATTTCTTGGTGGTTGTAGGTAAGAGTGTTGGCATGTTTCTGTTGGGATGTACAAATTCTAGATCAGAAGTAAAACCAGGGATGGCTTCATGGGTGTGTGACTTGTGTGGTCACACAGGGCCCCATGCTTGATTTAATGCTTTGCTGTTGCTATCCTGAAATTCTTAATTGTTGAACAAGGGGCCCAGCATTTTATTTTGCATTGGGCCTTGCAAATTATATAGCCAGTTCTAATTAAGACACATAGATTCTTCCAACTTTGGGCAATCTGTTAAGATCTCCTGACCTCAGCTCCATCTCTACAATGGGAGAGTGGGAATACACTATAATGATGATGCAATGATTCAGTAGCACAAGTAATCTCCACATTTCCCTAGTCCCGCCCACTCCCCATTGTAGTGAACTAGGCTACTTCATGCATTTGCCTTACTTTTCTGGTCCCTGGAGGAAACTGAATTTGCAACTCCTAGATTAAATGATTTGCATCCATTGAAGTACAGAGTCAAAAAATATAAATAAATAAATGATTTATAACGGCTGTTTCAGCTCAAAGACTCTTATTAGTAGGCAGTGATCAGGCAGTTTTTATACATAACAATTTTATACAAGTCATTAGAATTCCTACCATCCATCACTTATGTATCTACATTTTATTTCATCACTAAAATGACCCAGTTTTCATAAGACATAGGTTCTATTATAGGAACACTGGTGCCTCCATCATTTGAATAACAACTTGTGATGAATATTTACAAGGCAGAGTTTATTTCCACAAAATATCTTCAGGAAGGAAAATTTAAGCGTTTTGTAATATGAAAAGGTACTTTTTTTCTGTTTGTGGGGTTTCGTGTTATAGTTTTAAATGCTAGCTACCAGCCCTGATTGGGCCTCTTCCAACCTTTCACTAAAATATCTACAAAAAGAGATAAAGGTACATGTAACCCTGAAAAGGAAGACAGACCTTCAACCTATTGCTAGAATCAGGGAAGAATTCTTACCACAGAGAAAGAATAAAATTAGATTTAAAACGTGATTAGCAGTGGTGAGAAACAAGGGACAAGGCTTGAAGGATGTAGGGAAATCTTTATCTGCATATCTCCCTGTCTCCACTTTCTGCCATCTTGTATAGAAATGCAAAAATATGTATCAGTCAGAGACTTAGGCAGCTCTTTGTCATAAATGATAATGCTTTTAAAGGCAGCAGGAGAATCCCCCATCCCATAAGTTAGTGATTTCCAATTTTAAGAAAAAACTAGGAAGAAGGGGAAGTACTTTGCACCCTGGCAGTTTCAGTTGCAGAAAAGCAGATGAGGGTGGAGTTCTTACATAATTTACACATAAAGTAACAGAACAAGGCACTGGAGATAGCTGCTTTATATGAAACTCTTCTAGATCTTGAAAATGGGTCAGAGCCTTTTATAAACATCAACCTGCTACAAGATCAGAGATCTAAAAGAGGACATTTACTAACAAACAGAAGGACAGAGAGTGGGGCCAAGGGCAATCCATACATCCTCTCTGTAAGTAGACCCAGATGAATATTTTGAAATTCAGGAATGAAAATAACAGCTAACTGTCAGCATGGATCTACTAAGTGGTACTGAATATGGGAAGAAAAGAGCATGCTAAAGATTTATAAGAAGAACTGTCTCTTAAAAATGACTTCCTAGAGGAATCAGACGTAATTTTTAGGAAAGTATTTGGCATTGTCAATATAACACAAGAAAATAAAGACCCCTAAAAACAAAAGTAGAAAATCATAAATCAGTAAAGGACTGTAGGGTAAGAAAGAGACGATAGGTGAAATGAAGCATTACATGGATTCTAAAAATGAAGTACAGCATCATTATCCACACTGGGGGAGAATATAGACATATATACAATGTAAAATATTATGTGGAGGGTAAACATACCACAAGGCCAGACAAAAGAACCTATAGATAAAAAAAAGATCCTAGATCTTGAGGACCATAAAAAACAAATCTAATTATAGTCGTTTCTGAGAAAACACAAGAACTGAAATAAAAATAACAATCAAAGACACAACTGGGAAAAAAAACAAACCTGAACTGGGAAAAAAACTAAATTGTATTCCAAACAATATCAATTCAAAGCCACATTCTGAAAAAAATTTTGAATCCTAGAATTACAGTAAAAAAAAAAAAAAATAAAAAATCCTTAGTATTCAGGCATGAAAACAAAAACAAGTCAACACACAAAAATCAAATGAAAACAAGTCACCATGAATGGAACAATGTCCTGTTGGTCTTAAATTTCTCTTCTGTATTACCAAATGCTCGAAGAAAAGAAATACCCAATCAAAGAGAGCTAATGCCAGCCAAACTCTCTTTCATTTGAGGAGGAATATGAAAGATATTCTCATATATTCAAAGGCTCCAAAAATACATTACTCATTAACCTTTACTGAAAAATTACTTAAGACAAATCCAACTCACCAAGATACAAACAAAAATTTAGAATTCAAAAGCATACTTTTAGAATAAAAGGATTATAGTTAGCAATATAAATAATTGCCCTATATGTAATCGCCAAATTAAATGTTATTGTTAAGGAATAATTTAATATAAAGTATTTAAATAATAGTCAAGGGCTGAATCCTCACATTAATGAAAACAGAGAACAGAGAAGGGAAGTATTAAATTCATTCTTACAGGGAAATTTCAAAAAACATTGTTTTCATAAGGGAAATATAGTCAAGAATGTTTCTTTAAAAACAAAGATGACTTCTGCGTTGAAAATGATAAACACAAATTTATCTCTGTGCCTTTATGAATGTACCAATAAACTTGCAAAAGGGATTTTGTCAGTTAAAACATAAACTCCCAATGACACAGAAAACAGAAGCAAGGACAACAACCCCATTTGGGGGCCTGGACGGCAGAAGGGGAGGGGTGACAGCTTGGTTAGCAGAACCAGGAGCTGAATCCTAAACTATCCATGGAGGATGCTCAGAAGGACCACAGAATCCCAGAAAGACTCCAGATGAGGACACAACTCTGCAAGGTTGTTTCCAACTTTGCAACTCTGTAAGACCTCTACTGAAAACAGAACCCTAGGGATTAGCTTGTCCAAGGCCACACAGGTGGTACGTGGCAAAACCAGGACCCAAAGTAGTGCTGACTAAAGCCCTTTCTCAAGTTCTGCAGAATTAGAGCACACTTTCTTTGCCTAGAGAAGTCAATGTGTTCCACTACATTTGTTTGGATATGGAAGCATTTTATATCCATCAAACCTGGAAATTAGAATAGAAGCTAATAAAAACTACCACCTGCTGAATCTGGTTTATTGTCCTTATACAACAAGGCTGAACAGGGCTCTTTGTTAAAATCAAGACTAATAAAATGTGCCATAAAAGCAGGGAATCAGAGCATTGAGGTCTCATGTCTTGCTACCATGTGACATCCAAACGGCACAGGGATCCTAGACTACAGGAGAGACAGAGCAGGGAAAAACATCCAGAGCAGCTGCCCCCTGAGCTCAACTCAGCATGCAATTCCAGGGAGAGCACGGCAGGCATAGGGGCCATTTTATTTACAACATTTATGGAGTGCTTCCTCTATGCCACAAGCTCTTCTAAGCACTTTACAAATAGGAAGTCACATAATGAAACTATTCCACATTACAAGGTAGTCACTATTATCATCCCTATTTTTTCCCCCGATGAGGAAATAAGCACAAATTGGTTTAATCACTTGCAGAAGGCCATGCAGCTAATAAAGGAGGGTCAGGCTTGGAAGCCAGGCAGTTTGATCCCAGCATCCAAGCTCCTAACCATTAGGCTATGCTGCCTCTTCCTGATTTTATACATCTGAAAATTGAAGACAACATATTCAGCTAAAATGGTGTTTCTAACCTGTTGTACATTAATGGATGCCACATATTGAGAACAATCTCTACCCTGATGGATAGCAATCGACTGCTTGCAAATCTGGGGATAGGGGAGTGCATTAGTGCTTTTTCCCAATACCAGGGTAGCTAAAATGAAGCTTATCAACTAAAGTCAACAGTAATTATCCAAAGGGCCCTTCTCCGTCCTACTCACTCATCTATCCATCTGCTGAAATGCTTTCCCTCCTTCAGGATTTATGTCAAATGCCAGTTGTTCCATGAAG